AATCTGACCTCAATAAACCTAATCTGATATAACATGAACATGATCATTGAAATAGCTTGAAAACATAACTTTTTGCACAAGAGCTGAATAGGGCCGTGGCGAGCGCACCGTGCGCCGCCGACGGCGATAGGCCGTCTCTCGACTGACTCAACTTATCACTCGGAAACTCAAGATCAATTAAACATGAACATAATTTTAAAGCTATTAAGACATAAATTGCACTGACAATCTTGACCATAACTGAAGGTAACATGACATAACATCGAACAGCCCGTGGCCATGCGCGACGTGCGCTGGCAACGGCTTTTAGCCATTTCAGTGATAAAACGATATTTTGCCTCGACCATCATCAACTAACTGAGTATAACATGAAGTAAACTGATCAATTAAAGGTGAACTGTTCATGAGTTTCCAGACAATACAAGAAGTTATTCGATCACGACTTAACTAGACATAACCGAACCTTAACATGGCATAGCTATGAACTCTTGAAACATGAATCGAACACTACAACCTAAAATGAACTTATTGACATGAAAATGAGTTGAGGATGGCTTTACCTCCTCAAGTGCTCGCTGGAATTCGCAAACCGATCGTGATCCCGCGTTGATTTTCGCGTGTCCGTGTGCGGTAAGTTATGGCCGTGCGGTTCTTTGCTATTTGCCGTGCGTGGAGTATGGAAAATTAAGGCAATATGCTGATCTTTTATAGCTTAACTTAAGACTTATACATAGACGCATAAAGGGTAAAAGAGATGAGCAAAAATTCGGACCAAACACTCTCTTATATATGGAACCGAATGGGACAACAAGACTTAGGGAGTGATAAGGCTTAGACGTGGCTTCTTATATGCTTGACATTTGCTCACTAATAAGATGGGTTCATGGTGACTAATCCCCCACTTATACTCCCAAATATGGGACACGTGTCCTAGCTTAAAGAGAAAGGGAATTTACTTTCTTAATACTTAGGAAATGACTTACAAAATTGGGAAATACTTGCACAATTTCGTACGGCATTTTGCTCCATTAACTTGTGATTAATGTTAATTAATCACAAACTTATGTTTAATTATTTAATTAAACATAATGCTTAATTACCAAAATTATTCCAAACGTAAACGGTACGTCGAAAATAATTTTCGGTAATCTCAACTGAATATAATTAATTCCAAAAATTAATACTCGACAATATTAATATATCGGAATTAAAACATAATTTATACTGATAAAATAACAGAATATTACAGTGCACGCGTACGTGCGGGGTAAGGCGCGCGCGCGACCAGGACTAGGGCTCCGAAGGCACGCGCAAGAGGCGGTCGAAGTGAGGCGGCATGCGAGTACTTAGGGCGTGTGATTTCGAATTGTTTGGAATGCAAGCCAAGCAAGATCAAGACATTCTAGTTAATTAGGATTCTATTTCCTTCTTGCACAATAATATCTAGATTGTTTAGGAATTTAATATTTATTGCTTTAATTAGTTTCCTGGATAGATTAGAACTAGTCATAGTTAGGATCTATAAATAGGGATGCTCCCTCATTGTTTTTGAAGTCTGGGAATGAGTTGAATAGAAAAGAACATTTGTTCGAAACCGTGTGTTAGGATTCGTGAGAGTTCAATCATACAAATCGAATTGGTGAGGCTAAGACCCGAGCCAGTTCAAAATAGAGTGAGCGAGGCTAATTACCGAGTGAACTCAAGCATCTTGAGAGAGTTAGGCTAATAACCGAATCGATCACAACTATCGTCGAGAGCAAGGCCATGGCGAAGCTGTGTTCGAGACAAGCGAGTGGAACGAAACACACGATCCTTCATCACTGCGCCCAGCCGTGCCCCGCCCGGGCCAGCAAGCAGCCCGACGCCCGTCCCGAGCCTTCTTTATGTTTTTCCCGAACTCTTGTATGTGTCTTTGACCCGATTGACTTTGTTTTGCGTGCTAGTCTATGTGTGATGTTTATATGCATTTTTGGTCAATTCTAAGTGTTAAGTCCGAGTGTTCCAATATCCACGGAACTTCACAAACTACTTGGTTGAATCAAGTTCGACCAATGTATGCTTGTGATTGTTCTCTAAGGTCAAATAGGTGTTGATCTTAGTATATAATTGTTGTAGGTGTTTGACGAGTCGTGCTTGCTGCCTACTCCCGATTGTGTGCTATTTTTTCCTTTGCTGTACCAGGTGGGTTTTAATCTAAAATTTGCTATGTCGTAAGTGTTTATTATAATGTTGATTTGGTATGATTATAGTATGTACGTAAACCATGTAGCCTAGCGGCGTGAGCCGACTCGGCTGTCGGTACAGTTGTCCCCGTCGATGTAATACGGTTACCTTGCGAGGTAAGTCTCTGTAAGACCAAATGAAAGGCCATGTCTTGTCATATGGCACGTACCCCCATGAGTTAGGGTAATGAATCCCCTTTTCTTGGCTAATGAAAGATGTGTACACGTGGGTAATATGTTGTGATATGATTAGGAGACGTGACAAAATAATTGTTTTATGTTTATACTGTAACCATACCTTCTCTACATTATTTATGTTGTGATATATGTGCGTAGTGGTGAGCACGTTTTTCATCTTGTGCTCATCCCCACCTGCTCTTCAGCGATGCAGGTTAAGCAGGAGCAGGGTGACGAGAAGAGGCGAGTGGGTTGGTCATTTAATTATGCATTTTATGCTTCCGTATAATAAATAAGGCTTTATTGGACCTTTATGTGGAGACTTGTTTGAACCTTTTTCCAAAACATATGACTTGTTTTGTTTTTGGGAAAACTTGTGGAACCCTGATGTGGGGTATGATGGTTTGGTTTAAATATTCATGTTTGAGAATTATGACTCGTGATATGCTTTGGTTAATGAAAACCATTTGTGAAAACTCGGTAATGAATCCCCGTGGGCCCAGATAAGACTTGAGTTATGAAAAATATTTTTTTAACACCCATTAAATTTCGTAAATAATCTCGAAAATTTTGTACTGATTTTTGGAAAGTCCGGAATTTCTCTAAAATCAAAGTGGGGTGTTACAATTTGGTATCAGAGACAGTCTGCGTTTCTATAGGCTGATTTATATGTGATTATACGTTTTAGACCTTGTGTTATCACCACTCGTCTTCGTCATGCCGCACTGCTTAAGTTATGTTTTATATAAGTATCAATGAAAATACTTATAATGTGAATTGTGATTTTGCACAAGTAGCAATGAAACTACTTGTGATGTTTTGCACGAGTAGCAAGGAAACTACTTGTGATGTTTTACATGAGTAGAAATGAAACTA